ATATATATATATATATATATACAATGCCAATTTATTTGAACTAAATGCAAAAACAATTGAATATATAAAAAGAGTACTATCTTTATTAATATCTCTTTTATGAATAAAATAAAAAATAAATATTTATTTATGTTTCTTATTTGCTTATGTTATTATCCTATGTATCAATCTTTAATATTAATATATAATATTACATATTAATATGAAAAATTATTATCCCTTACAAAGCACCCTCTATAGCAACTTCTGTATTAACATCAATAAAATATGGCCCTTCGTTAACAAATTGCTTGAATTTCTGCATAGTGTCCGCATCGAATATATTTCGCTCCGCTTGAGATAAATATTTCACAACTTCATATTTTGCATCCTTACACTCTTTATATGATTCAATATTTCTATCTAATAGGAACTCTACCAAACCAGGATACGTGGATATGTATTCTTGCCCCCATACTTGAGAACTAATAACCGCCAGTACCTGCAATCCAGCCTGTCTGATATCAACAAATGGTTGTCTGCACATCGCCACAATCATTCCCAATGGATCGTCGCACAGCGAATCAAACCACAGCTTTGTTAGGGACAGAATTCTGTTGTCTTGCTCCACTCTCTTGACCTCGAGTATAAGGGCAAGATTGTTCAAACCGCGAATTCTCAAAGCAGTCGGCATTCTCTGTACTATCTCAGCGATTTTCTTAAGAGCACTTGGCATCGCTTCTCCTAGAGCTTGCAACGCATATTTTCCTTCAATACTCGCAGACACGTATCCCAGAGTATCTAATGCGGGGCCCAAGATATTTTGATCTCCACTGTCTATCACATCGAAAAGTGCAGAGATTATCACGGGATATCTGGCAAACAGCTCATTGGGCCAGTGACGAGCGACGTTACCGAAAAACTTCATCAATCCAGGAATCAAAAGATTTGACAAAGGATTCTCGTTGACTTGTGATATTTTTTGAACTAACTTGCTCAACACCTCTTGTTGCTCCAGATAACTTAGACCTTCTTCGAATACAGCTAATTGAGTTAATATTTCCAAGGCATTCAATTGAAGCAGTATATCTTCGTTTTCTAGTATATTGATTAAACTATTCAGAAAGCCTGACTGGGCTGATACTTCCAAAGCCTCTTGAGATGTTTTGGCTATGTCCACAATCACTTCATAAACACGGAAGCTAATGGTATCATTCTGCAGCAGCCTGGCAAATGTTCTCAGGAGCTCACCCTTATACAAAATATGTGGACCATTTGGATTTTCTCCAATTTTTTTCACTATGCTCATCGCACATTCAGCGACATTCAAGTCGTTATCACTGATTCTATTTATAATTGAAATCAGAAGAGTGGTGTCTGAGAGTAACTGAAATATCTTTTGTGGATGCAAAGCTGTGCGTGAAAACTCACGTAACACAAGTAATCTCACACTAGCATTTGGATTAGTTATTAAAGCAGATATTTCAATTAAATATCTCTGATAAATTTCTCCAGGTTCCAGCATGCTGAACAAGACAGTCAGAATATCGCATATCTGCTCTATAACTTCTCTGTAAAAAAGAAAAGTAGAATTCTTTTTTGTTCTTAGTAGCAAACTTCAGAATTATATTATGTAATTAATATAAAACTCTTATAATAAGAAGCAAAAAATTTAGTATCATATTCTAAGAGAAACAGTAATAACATATAAAGTAACAGTTTAAATAATTATAAAATAAAAAGATTTAAATGTTATATAAATAAGGCAGTTGTTTACACATACACAATGTGACAATCAAGGAATTGTTGAAACTAATGACTTAATGTAATAAACAGAATAAAATAAATATAATGCCACTTTGCCGAAGAAACTCATCAATTTATCAGTCTAAACAGAAATTAATTATCTGTGAATTCGCGTGTATCCATTTATTGCAAAATAACAGTTATTTATTTACAACAACTTTCTGATTGTCACCCCATAAATACTCAATATGCATTAATAAGACAATAACGTCTACATTTAAAAATAAATGATTAAAGCTTATATGAGCAATAATTGACAGATATATGCATAAATTATCGTCCATGAGAATTGCAAAAATTTCACCTATCATCGTACCTGTCGTTCGAGGTTAGCTGCGAATAAAGTGGCCTGTAGTCCAAACTACGAGCGATCTGCTCGGCATCCCGATTGTCCAAAGCGCCGAATTTGATTTTGATGTCCGTGAGGACGTCCTTTTTGTCCTCGACATTGTTCAATTCGCATAGATGCAGGATTTTCGCTTGGTACCACTCCGCCATGGTCATCTCATTGACAATTGACTCTTCTAGTAATGTTTTCGACTATTTTTGAGTGCAAGGATTTGACCTAACCTAACCGTCATAATACAGAATAATGTCACATATTCTACTTTCTGATTGGACGAAATCACATGGTACCTTTTGAGAGATAGGTTAACTTCAAATCCATTGTACTTGAAAGTCACAAATACTATAAATCTGTTCATATTACTTGCGCTTTTTACGCTCAATATTTATACTTTCTTTCTCTTCAATACATATTTTTCTATTTAAGTACAAAAATTTTTTGTTTTAAACAACACGAACGAACCTAGAGTGCGTTCCATTTCATGCATGATGAGCATGATGTATTATTTTATCCTTGTTCACTGAGTATTAAAAAGAATAAAATATTACACGTACGCATTGCCGCGGATCCTTAATAATATATACATATATGTACAGTAGAATGCACATTATTTGTACTGCAAATGAGGTGTAAATGAACAGCAAATGAGTGTAAATGAATCCGCTGACTGCTGACTCCGCTCCGTGATTCCCGGTCGCGAATTAACGTCGACGAAATGTGTTGTACATCCAGCTACAAATATAAATATAAAACATCATTTTCTACGTAATGTTAGCATCCAACAAAAGTCTTTAAAGAAGCAACATATAGTGGGAATACAATACTAGGATTTTCAGCTAGAAGGAATATAATTACTAGGTACGTATTGTGATCGTACCATTTCTAAATACAATTTCTAATGTGGATTGTGATAAACCAAGGTTTAAGGATATGTTTCACTAATTTTTCTGTAGTTAAGAAGCTTCAGAAGTGTATCAAATGAAAAGATTTTTCCAGGTTATCGAGTCTGTGGAAATCTATTTGCTTTCCCGGCAAAGGATTGATCTTAAAATGTACAAAGTGATATCAAGAACATTTGCGCGCGAGGGCGCGAACACGTTGGAACCCTTAAAACGCAGCCCGATACAACGGGGTCTTGTGAAAGTGGACAGAGAGATAGAGAAGTCCAGGAAAGTGGCCAATCTCAAATGGTACTGGTTTGGCAGATATATAAATTATATCAAGAACTATGAACATACGCTGGAGCGTAAGTTTCCACGTACGATGCAGATGTACCGTGTGTTCAGCGTTGGTACCAGAGATGTGTATACGAACTTAAAAAGTTTCGTCACTGCAATAAAGAAGCAAGGATCGAATGGCGTAGATAGCTTAACACGGGAGCAGCTGCAGCTGATGCACACAATGCCGAGGGATCTGCGAAAGCTCTTGCCATTGTTCCTGCTGTCGGCTGCGCCGTTTACAAATTACATTATTTTTCCTCTAGCCCTATATTTTCCACGTTACTTATTAACGTCACACTACTGGACGCTGCAACAGAAGCTAGAATTTATGCTGTCTGATCACAAGGCAAAGTTGAAGCATAACAGACCATTGTTCAGATGCATGCAGGCAGAGCTCAAGAGCATCAAGGATGAAACACTCAGGATAAAATGGCGAGACATTATAGCTTGCTTAGGAAGTGGTACGCATCCAACCACCAAGAATATCATAGCTTGTTCCAAGCTCTTTTCAGGCCCACCATATTCCCTCAATAATCTCAAAAGAAAACATCTGGTTAGTCCACAAATTGCACTTGTTACTTTTGAATATGAATTTATTCTCTTTTAAAAAGAGAATAAATGTCATATATACTCTTGTCATAATATAGATAAATATATACATCTTCCAGAAAGAATTATTGGCAATACATGGTATGTCGCTATGGAGACCTTTCAAAAGGAAAAGATTGACGGAAAGGGGTATGTTAATATTGCGAATGGATCGTGCTATCATACGAGAGGGAGGAGTAAAAGAAATGTCCAACGAAGCAATGCGATGGGTAGATACTTTTATTACTTTGACGCTTCTAAAATATAGAAATATCTATTTTTTAGTATGAAAGAATTCATTCTCTTATTTATTTTTATTTATTTATTGTAACTTATACACAAAAGATGATGCGTCTTCATTATTCTAATGTAATTTACTTTTTTATTTTGAAAAACTATATGTAAATTATAATTGCAATTATAAATTTTTACATACATATATATATATTATATATATATGTATTATATATATATACACATAATACTAAATTTCTAATTACAATCTACAATTTACAATTTAGTACATTTTGTTTAAATAGGAAGTATACTGATACAAAAGATGTATTAGTTAAGATGTTATTTTATTATGAATTTCCTTTTCAGGCATTATCCTTTAGAGGCGTAAATCCTGCAAATATGTCTATAGAAAGTATGAGAAGTTGGCTTGAGCAATGGTTAATAGTATCAG